AATGGCGACAGTTTCGCAGATCGCAGCCCCCCAGGGATGGCGAGGTGTAATTTGAATCCGCCCGTGGCCCTCACTGTGCTGGCCCCCCAGCAGGGCTCGAAAATGGCGACAGTTTCACAGATCGCAGCCCCCCAGGGATGGCGAGGTCTAATTTGGATCCGCCCGTGGCCCTCACTGCGCTGGGCCCCCCAGCAGGCCTCGAAAATTGCGACAGTTTCACAGATCGCAGCCCCCCGCGGGCAAGACAGGAAGAGGCGGGAGGGGAAAAGGAGGAAGGGCGGGAGAAGGGACGCGACCACACTGCTCTATTCAAAACGAATACCCAACCAAGGAGGGTTGGGAAATACAAAATACTCAAACATAATCGAAAATGGTCCAAAAATCGTCCCGAGACTATTTCGGGGACTATTTTTGAATATTCCGGGACAAGCCAGACTTGACTCTAAGTGCAAGTTCGAATTATCAAGTTATGCAGCGACGACGCCGACGTGCACGGAGGCATGCAATAATGGGGTGGCCGGAAGGGGTCGGGAGGAGCAGGGGGCAGGGCGCTGCAGACAGGGGCGGCCAGCCAGCAGACAAGGAGGGCAAGGGGGCGGGACGGGGGGCGGGTGGGGCGTCGTCGCCTGTTGGGGGCGTCAAAGTCGACGGGGTGGAAGCGCTGACCATCGGCGGTGGTGCGTGCGGCGGTGTTGCCTCCTCCTCCTCCTCCTCCTCCTCACTCCTCCTCCTCCTCCTCCTCCTCCTCCTCACTCCTCTTTCCTCCTCCTCCCTCCTCCTCTCCTTCCTCCTCCTGCCTCTTCCTCCCATGCCCTTCCCTGCACCATCCCCTTGCCCTCTTCCGCCCCTCCCCCTCCTCCCCGACCTTCCCCTTGCCCTTTCCCTTTCTTGTCCCTCTCCCTCTCCCACCCTGCGCCCCCCACTTCCTTCGGGTCCTGCCAGGGTGGCGCTACCCCTCCTCCAGCGCCTCTCTCCTGCATCCATGCTTCCCACCACCCCTCCCCATCCAACCCCCTCTCAGAAGGCTTCTTAGAATGCTTCTTAGAAGGCAACCTCCCTAGAAGGCTTCTTAGAAGGCAACCTCCCCAGAAGGCAACCCTCCAGAAGGCATCTGAGGAGGCTTCTTAGAAGGCGCAGGGGCTTCCGAGAAACCCCCCCTTCTTCGCAGAAGGCTACCTCCCTCGCCCCCCCCCCCCCCCCTTGTGCGAACCGACAAACCCCCCAGACGTCTGGCGCTTCGATGTTTTGCCGATGCAAGGACCCTGGACCTCTCGGCACATCCTGGGGCCAGATTATCCGCCCTTCCGTCGTGTCCCTCCTTTCCGCCACGACGCGCGACTGGGCGAGACATGCGATACCTCTGCGCCCTTCTGTGCGGTGTCCAGCCACACACCACTCCGACGCTGCCACTGGGGCGGGCGTGATGCGTCGGCAAGAAGAAGTTATCCCCCGACGCCGTCCGTCGACGTCGTCGTCAGTCGTCGCCGTCGCCGAGGTCGTCGTCCTCGTCGTCGGCGACTTCGTCGTCGTCGTGATCCTCGTCGCCGTCGTCGTCCTGGACGACGGCGTCGTAGTCGTAGTTGTCGTCGTCGTCGTCCGTCGTCATCGTCGTCGTCGTCGTCCGTCGTCGTCCGTCGGTCGTCGGGCATCGGTCGCCACACGCAGGTCGTCGGTCGCTGGTCGCCCGTCCTCGGTCCGTCGTCCGTCGTCCGTCGTCCGCCGTCCGTCGTCCGTCGTCCAATGTCCGTCTTCGTCGTCGCCATTCGCCGTCGGTCGGCCGGTCGGACGTTCGGGCGGTCGGTCGGTCGGTCCTCGTCGTCCTGGTCGTGGGTCGTCATCGTCGTCGTCGTCCCGATTGTCGTCGTCATCCTCCTCGACGTCGTCGTCGTCCTCGTCGTCGTCGTTGCCGCCGATGCCGTCCCCGTCCTCGCAGTCGTCAACGTCGTCTCGATCGTCGTCGTCACGCCGTCGTCATCGCTTTGTGCTCGTCGTCGTCGTCGTCGCCACCGCCGCCGCCGTCGTCGTCGTCGTCCTCGTCGTCGTCGTCGTCATCATCGACGTTAGTCGTCGTCGTCTTCGACGTCGTCGTCTTCGACGTCCATCGTCGCCTCGTCGCCACCGCCGTCGTCCTCGTCGTCGTCATCGTTGTCGTCGACGTCAAAATCGTGCTCGCCACCGTCGACGTCGCCGCCCCCGCCGTCGTCGTCATGGTCGTCCTCGTCGTCGTCGTCATCGTCACCGTCGTCGACGTTGTCCTCGTCGACGTCGTCACATCGTCGTCATCCTCGTCGTCCTCCTAGTCGTCGTTGCCATCGTCGTCGTCATCGTCGTCGTCATCGTCCTCGTCGGCGTCGTCCGTCGTCGTCAGTCGTCGTCAGTCTTCGTCGTCCTGATTGTCGTCGTCGTCGTCCTCCTCGTCGTCGTCATTGTCGTCGTCGTCGACCTCGTCGTCGTCGGTCGTCGTCGTGGTCTTCGTCGTCGTCGTCCGCGTCGTCGTCGTCGCTGTCGTCGTCGTCGTCAATCGTCGTCGTCGTCAGCCGTCATCATCGCCGCCGCCGTCGTCGTCGTGGTTGTCGTCGTCTTCGTCCTCGTCGTCGTCCTCGCCGTCGTCGACGTCGTCGCCCTGATCGTCGTCGTCGTCATCGTCGTCGTCGTCACCTCGTCGTCGTCGTCGTCTTCGTCCTCGTCGTCGTCATCGTCGCCGCCGCAATCGTCGTCGTCGTCGTCGCCGTCCTCGTCGTCCTCGTCGTCGTCGTCCTCGTCGACGTCCTCGTCCCCGTCGTCGTCGTCCTTCTCGTCCTCGTCTTCGTCGTCAACGTCGTCATTGCCGTCATCGTCGTCGTCCTCGTCGTCAAACGGCGTCCTCGTCGTGATCGCCGTCGTCGTCGTCGTCGCCGTTTGTCGTCGTTGCCGTCGTCGACGTTCTGATCGTCGTTGTCGTCGTCGTCGTCAGTCACCGTCGTCGTCGTCGTCGTCGTTCTCGTCGTCGTTGTCGTCGTCATCCTCCTCGTCGTCGTCCTTGTCATCGTCGTCATCGTCGTTTTCTTCGCCACCGTCGTCGTCGCCTCGTCGTCGTCGTCGTCATCGTCCTCGTCGTCGCCGTCGCCCCCGTCGTCGTCCTCCTCGTCGTCGTTACTGTCGTCCTCGTCGTCGTTGCCGTCATCGTCGTCGTCATCCTCGTCCTCGTCGACGTCGTCGTCCTCATCGTCGTCGTCGTCGCCGAAGTCCTCGTCATCGTCGTCGTCGACGCCGTCCTCACCGTCATCGTCGTCGTCGACGTCGTCATCATCCTCGTCGTCGTCGTCCTTGTCGTCGTCGTCGTCCTCGTCGTCGTCGCCGTACTCGTCGTCGTCGTCCTCTTCGCCGTCGTTGTCGTCGTCCTTATCGTCCTCGTCGTCGTCGTCATCGTCGTCGTCCCTCTGGTCGTCCTCGCCATCGTCGTCCTCGTCGTCCTCATCGTCGTCGTCGTCATCGCCGTCGTCGTCATCGTCGTCGTCCTCGCCGTCGTCGCCCTTGTCGTCGTCGTCGTTGTCGCTCGTCGTCGTCACCTCGTCGTCGTCCTCGTCGTCGTCGTAGTCGTCCTCGTCGTCGTCGTCAGTCGTCGTCGTCGTCGCCGTACTCGTCGTCGTCGTCCATCGTCGTCGTCGTCGCCGTCGTCGTCGTCGGCGTGGTCGTCCTCGTCGTCATCATCGTCGTCATCGTCGTCACCCTCGCCGTCCTCGTCGTCGTCGTCCTCGTCGTCGTCGTCGTCGCCTCATCGTCGTCGTCGTCGTCGTCGTCGCCGCCGTCGTCGTCATCGTCGTCCTCGTCGTCGTCCTCTGTGTCTTCGTCGTCCTCGTCGTCGTCGTCATCGTCGTCATCACGGTCCTCGTCGTCGTCCTCGTCGTAGTCGTCGTCCACCGTCGTCGTCGACGCCGTCGGTCGTCGCTGTCGTCGTCGTCGTCCTCCCCGTCGTCGTCGTCATCCTCCTCTTCGTCGTCGTAGTCGTCGTCGTCGTCCTCATCGTCGTCACCCTCGTTGTCGTCGTCATCGTCGTCACCGTCCTCGACCTCTTCGTGGTCGTCGTCGTTGCCGCCGTCGTCGACGACGTCGTCGTCCTCGTTGTCATCCACAACGTCATCGTTGTCATCGTCGTCCTCGTCGTCGCCGTCGCCGTCATCGTCGTCGTCGTCCTCGCCGTCGTCGTCCTCGTCGCCCTCATCGGCGTCGTCGTCGCCGTCGTCGGTCGTCGTCGTTCTCACCGTCGGTCATCGTTGTCGTCGTCGTCGTCGTTCTCGTCATCGTCGTCGTCGTCCTCGTCGTCGTCAGTCTTCGTCGTCATCGTCGTCGCCGTTGTCGATTTCCTCGTCGTCCTCGTCGTCGTGCGTCGTCGTCGTCGCCGCCGCCGTCGTCCTCGGCGTCGTCGTAATAGTCATCGTCGTCCTCGTCGTCGTCGTCCTCGTCGTCGTCGTCGCCGCCGTCCTCGTCCTCGTCGTCCTCGTCGTCGTCGTCCTCGTCGTCGTCGTCGTCCTCGTCGTCGTCGTGGTCTTCGATCTAGTCGTCGTCGTCGCCGCCGTCGTCGACATCGTCGTCGTCGTCATCCTCATCGTCGTCGTCGTCATCGTCGTCCTCGTCGTCGTCGTCGTTGTCGTCGTCGTCATCGTCGTCCTCGTCGTCGTCTTCGTCGTGGTCTTCGTCCTAGTTGTCGTCGTCCTCGTCGTCGTCGTCGACATCGTCGTCGTCGTCATCCTCGTCGTCGTCGTCCTCGTCGTCGTCGTCGTACTCGTCATCCTCGTCTTCGTCGTCCTCCTCGTCCTCGTCGTCGTCGGTCGTCGTCCTCGTCGTCGTCGTCCTCGTCGTCGTCGTCGCGGCCGTCCTCGTCCTCGTCGTCGTCGTCCTTACCGTCGTCGTCGTCGTCATCGTCGTCGGTCGTCCTCGTCGTCGTCGTCGTCGCCGCCGGTCGGCACGGTCCTGGACAGGCGCTCTGGTACGCCGTCCGCGCCGTCCTGCCGGGCGGCACGGGATGGAAGCGGGGCGGCCAAGGGGCGAAGACGGGGGAGGAGAGGAGGCGAGGAGGCGAGGAGGCGAGGAGGAGGAGGAGGAGGAGGGAGGAGAGAGGGGACGAGGAGAGAGGAGACGAGGAGAAGAGGAGGCGAGGAGAAGAGGACCTCGTGTTTGGACCTCGTTCGGTTGGGGCCCGCTGGGATAGCGGAGTGACCGAGGGGTTCGCGGGGCCGAGGGTTCGCGGGGCGGAGGGGGCGAGGGGAGAGAGGGAACGAGAGGAGAGGCGCGAGGAGCGGGGGGGGAGCGAGGAGGGCGCGAGGAGGCGACGCCGAGACCGACCGAAGCGGACACCCTCGTCCTCCCTCTGATCCTCTGCCTCGGAGCCTCGAGCCTCGAAGGCGTCTTCCTGCCTTCTGCCTCCTGCCCCTTCTCGCCTCCGCCTCCTCCTCCTCCTGTCCCGTGCCTCCTGCCTCTTCCACCTCCTGCCTCACTCCTCCTGTCGCCCCCGCCACCTCGCCGAAGGTAAAAACCTCGAGCATCGAAGAAAGGTTCATATTTTCATACTCCTCACCCTCCTCTTCCTCCTCCTCCTCCTCCTCCTCCGCCTCCTCCTTCTCCTCCTCATCCTCCTCCTCCTCCTGCTGCTGCTGCTCCTCCTCACTGAGATCCGACATTAAGAAAAAATGTAACATCGCGAAAACTCATAACTGAGCCGGGTCGATCTGTGTTGGCCCAGTGTCGCGAAACAATGCAAAATCGCCCGTCGTGAAAGAATTACGACGCCAGGATCTCAGGGCTCCACAAAAATCGAAAGCCTCCTCTTCCTCCTCGTCTTCCTCCTCCTCCTCCTCCTCCTCCTCCTCCTCCTCAATCATCCTCATCATCATCATCAGCATCATCAGCATCACCACCACCACCACCACCACCACCATCATCATCATCATCATCATCATCATCATCATCATCATCATCATCATGATCATCATCATCCTCATCATCATCATCCATCATTCTCATCTCATCAATCATCATCATCATCATCATCATCATCATCATCATCATAATCATCATCATCATTATCATCAGCATCATCACCCCCACCACCATCCTCCTCCTCCTCCTCCTCCTCCTCCTCATCATCATCATCATAAGCAGCAGCATCAGCATTAGCATGAGCATCATCAGTGTCGTCATCAGCATCATCAGCATCATCAGCATCATGATTAGCATCATCATCAGTATCATCATCAGCAGCAGCATCAGCATCAGCATCAGCATCAGCATGATGATGATGATCATCATCATCATCATCATCATCATCATCATCATCATCATCATCATCATCATTATCATTATCAGCATCATCATCATTATCAGCATCGCCACCACCAAGAACAACACCACAATCACCATCACCATCACCACCACCACCACCATCATCAGCATCATCATCATCGTCATCATTATCATCGTCAACACCATTATCATTATCGTCGTTGTCCTCATCATTATCAGCATCATCATCAGCAGCAGCATCGTCGGCATCATCAGAATCATCATCATCATCATCATCATCATCATCATCATCATCATCATCATCATCATCATAATCATAATCAATAGCATCAGCATCAGCACCATAAACAACAACAGCATCATTACCATCGTCAACAGCCTCATCATCAGCATCATCAGCTTCACCAACATCATCATCAGCAGCAGCATCGGCGTCATTATAAGCATCAGCATCATGATCATCATCACCATCCTCATCGTCATCATCATAATCATCATCATCATCATCAGCATCAGCATCATCATCATCATCATCAATAGTACCCTCACCATAACCACCAACATCCTCACCATCACAATCAGCATCAGCATCTTGATCAGCATCATCAGTATCATCATTATCATCATCATCATCATCATCATCATCATCATCCTCATCATCATCATCATCATCATCATCATCATCATAATCAACATCATCAGCATCATCATCAGCATCACCATCGTCAGCATGATCATCATCCTAATCATCATCAGCAGCAGCATCATCAGCATCATCATCGTCATCATCGGCCGAACCTTTGCCTCCTGTTGACGGCGCGCACAAGGGTATAGGAGGAAGGGGGAAGGCTTCTCAGAAAGAGGCTGCTTCTTAGAAGGCTCAGGCCCTTCACCGAAAGACAAGGCCAGCGCCTTCTAAGAAGCAGGAATGCTTCAAAGAAGCCGTCCCCCCTCCCCCTACCCCCCTCTGCGCGTGGCTGGGGATATACTCCCCGCTCGTGACCCGCGGACGGCGTGGACCTCTCCTGGGGTGCGTTCTGACCAGAAGTGGGAAGCGAATACAGCGACGGCGACGAGGGACTCCCAAGAGGCCCAGAAAGGCAAAACCGAGGGAAAGGAAAGCGGCCGCGTCGCCGCGTGGCGGCCCCCTTCGCCTCGCCGCGGGCGGCCCAACTCCCCCTCCTCCTGTTCCTCCTCCTCCTCCTCCTCCTCCTCCTCCTC